AACAATTTATTCTATGACAAATACATATAAGTTTTGTTTACTTTACAGATGTTTGTCTTTTTTATGAGAGCTGGTTGGAAAAACTATCTAACATGAAGCTTTAGTGTGATACTTTATTAGCTAGAAAAAGGTCTGAGGAGGGTAGGTAGATGGTTCTGCTAGAATTAGAAATTGAAAAAGAGCGCAGGGCCATTAATGCCACAGCACTAGTCAAACACACACTTCTTTACCTAGCTCTATTTTTTTTTTTTTACTTTAAATGATCTATATTTCTTGAATTTGTGTGGTTTACATGTATAACTTATTAAGTGACACGGATGCGTCTTTTCAACTTTAGTTCCTTTGAAATTTCAATTATTATTAATTACAGTTCCTAGTCCTATCAGGCCTGTTTTAAGAATGACCACCTTGGTGCGATTGGTTTGTTTTAAATTTGAAAAAGGAAACTACTTATAACTACTATTTACAACTATAACTAACCTACAACTACTATATACACCTAATCTACTATATACAAATTGCTTATCAAAGCATCCCAAGTAACAATTCAGCAACCGTTTGGCATCTACTCTGATTTATGATGGTTTTATAACGGCAATGAACAATCCATTTAGTTTAAATATAGCATTTTAAAGTGTAAAACATTCCTGCTTTGTAATTTAGCTTTTTGCTGTTTTAAAAACCTTTGTTAGTCTGGCAAGAAAGTCAAAAACTTGTTTTAAAAATAAATTTAAAACTGTTATCAATCCCTCTTTAAAACTGTTCTGTAATTCAAGCATAAACGTCATTAGCAGTTGTTTATTAATGTCTTGATGAAATACTTTATAAACGTGTTCTATCATTATAAATGCAACCATTAGGTTTTTATATTAGAGCAAAAAGCATTTATTGTTGCTTTTTAGGCTTTTTAAAGTGCATCATTAACTCCCCAATTTGTTTACAAATTGAGCTTGAAAGATGGTTCCTCATAGTTAATAAATGCCAATTTTATGACAAGGAAATCTCGAAGGATAGACAAAGTAGGAGGAAAAGTTCAAGTCGATTTCAGCAAAATTTACTTCTTTAAAAGAACCAGCACACCATCAACGACTGACCATCTTGCGGAGAAGAGTAAAGTGAGCGTGGCCCTCGAATTCATAAAACAATGTCGAAAGTTTAAAAACATACCAGCCTTCTCCAGATCTTGCGATGACAATCGAAATAACAAGCGACAGCAAACCACTGAAACTGTTAGTTAGCGGAGATTAGCTGGTTTCCGATCCATAGCAGCGATTTTATTCGGCAAAAGAATCAACTCTTCGAAAATTTCATTCAAGCGTAAATCCCTGCATCGTTGGATGGTGCACTTCTGTAACCATCCGGAAGAAGGGGATCTTTTTCGGGAACGATTGCGCTTCCAGCTGTTCGAAATGCGAAATGTTGTAAAACAGTATCGCAAACTATCTGAGTAGCTGCTCCCAATCCATCGGGAGAAATTTGCCTGGAAGAATCCTGGATCTCACAGCGCAACTATCGAAAGATAAACAAACTTTGACGTTTAACTTTTTGCAGGCAACTTTGCCTCCATAAATGCTGCCATAAATCTGAACGGGTTAGGATCAAGCAAAATGGCTTTAGATAAATTCAATTCAGCCTGCAAGTTTTCTTCATAAAAGCCATTTTAAAACCTTATTAATTTATTAAAGAATTCTTGAAAGCAAAACAACTTTTTCACATATGTCCCATGAAAATCAACTTTTATGCCACCGCCATGTTATAATTAGTTTGCTTGGTTTTGTACAATCTTCGATTTACAATCAATATTTCCTTAGTATAACTATATTTTGGAAAATTTAGCAATGAGCAAACATTTAAATGCGAAAATAAAAAAAAAATCTCGGCCAAGCTCGATCTGAAGAAAATTTTAGACTTAATTTTTTCGATGTTTTCACGTAATTTCACATTAAATTTAATATGGCACTTAAAACTAGGCCACTTAATGAGAAATATTGTAATAAATTTGGATATTCAACAAGATTTTTATACCATCAGTTTCTATTTTACTAATTTTGATAAGATCGGATTCATAAATCCTTTTCTATCTTGATTGATGGTTTCCTAGTGGATTCAGCATGCGGCTAGTGGAAATGGTTTGTAAAGGGTTTTTATTGTTGCTAAATAACTTTTATTGTAGCTTTCAAATGGTTCTCAATGCGTTCGTCATACAACCTTTTGCAGTAAATCAATCTTGAAGAGCTTCGAGAATACACCCTTCAGAACCTTCTCCAGGGTGGGCCAACTAGACATATTCTAGTCTAAATGAGGTTTTGGCGGATGCATTAATGACAGAATAGCCTTGACCAGGGTTTTATGAATGTTGTTTTATAGTTGCTTTGTAGTATTTCATAAAACTTAAAATGTTACTTGGGATGTTCTGATAAATTACATTTTTGTGCAAATTTAGTTGTTGGCACTGCTATGATCCATCTGCAGTCCCCTTGAACTCGTAATGGACGGACGAGCAAAGATGCTGGTAGCCCTACCACCGCTTGTCATCGCTGCAGCCGTCAACGTAACTGTCAACGGTTGAAGATTTAATGAATAGAAAAAAGATCAACAGTAATTTGCAACTTATAAATTGATTGAATTGTATTCTTTAAAATTATTGTATTTCTTACTTAAAACTAGTGAAATTCTACTTAAACACTAAATGTAATTATGAGACCTATAATTTACCTGCGAAACGTAAGCTAATAATAAAAATTTACAGCTTAAAGCTAGTTAAACTACGCTAAAAAGAGATGCCTTGATTCCTAACCCTAGTTGTCCCGGCAACATTAATCTTAATTTCGATAAATTCTGGAATCTATTTTGGCAATGCCTGCCTCTTCATGTAAATTTGTTATTCTAGTGTCAAAAGGACGATCAAGAACCATCCTCAGCACTCTATTCTGAGCGACCTGGATTTTGTTCCTGTGAGTCTGTGCACATGATTCCCACACCGGAGCTGCGTAGAGGATCGCAGGTGCTATTATTTGTTTGTAGACAGCCAGTTTGTTTACCCTTGAGAGGTGGAATCTGCGGCAGACTACAGTTTTCTCTACATGCGAACGGAAGAGGAGTTTTTCATCGAACAACATCCCGAGATAGGTTACTTCGGCGGACCACTCAACCCTTGTGCCATCCATGATTACAGTACAAGATGGAGCCGGTTTCAGTTTGGGCGATTGCCGATGGAGGAACATGATCGCTGTGGTTTGGCTGCTTGTTGGTACGATAAGAACGATAGGATCCTCCGGATGGTACTTTTGCTGGAATTGTATTTTGTGGTAATGTCACCATCAGATAGTCCTGCGTTTGCAATAATTGATTTCAATACCTTCGAATGCAGTTGCCGATCGTAAGTTTCAGACGCTTACTGTGATCCTTCCGCACAATAGTTTCCACTCACGGAAACGTTTGAGGACAAGGTAGATTTAGGCAAATTCAACGATTTCACAATTTTTTAACCTAACCACGTTGCATTATCAACGTGGGTGTCCAAAATTAATTTCCTGCTTTCGACTTCCATCTGTCACAACTTTTTTAAATCATAATGAATCGTAACAAAACTTTTACCACTGAAAGAGGAAAGCTTCCCAAACAATCTGCTGTCACATTTGAGAATCGACCGCTAGGACCGCTGTAAAAAAATAAGCAGTGCGTCCAGATTTTAAGTGAATCGAGCTTTAGTATCAGTGACTGCACTCAAAAGATTTTCAAATCTAAATAGATTAAAAGTAACACTAAATCGTAACTCTCCTGCCCGACGCATAGGTCGGTATAAAGGGAGAGAATACGAACTTAGTATAAAAATGATTTATTCATTGAATGGTGTAAAGTTGCGGTATTCATAGAATGCATAAAGCCTGACTAATTAAACGCCTTTATACAGATTTAGTATAGTTTTGAATGAAATTTTAATCGGATCAATGTATAAACATTGCTTACCCATAAAATGTTTAAATTTTAATCTATCTTTGTTTAGTAATATTTTTGAGTGTGCGATGGAGGATGAAGGCAAATGAAATATTTCCCCGATCAGTGTTGTAGCACTGGGTGTTGCATGCTGCTCCCAAACACAAAACACATCAAATATTCAGTGATGTATGTTGGTCAGTTATGGATTTGATATGGATGATCGATTTTCATGAAAGTCATGGTCTCGGAAACAATGGCAAATTCTTTATTTTTTGTAGAGAAATTTGACTTTTTTCACAACATATAAAAATTTAGCGATATATGTTTATTTTGTTTTGGTTTCTGAGCTACAATTTTTCAAAAATATTAAGTCAAGTGAATGGCAGTTCAAGAGCAAAAACAAAAATTTACGATTTTTTAAAAATTGTACAAGCACAAGTTTCATGTCACATTCCACGGGATTTGTAACCATTTCTTAGACGTACGAAGAGTAAAAAGCTCCGCAACATTGGGAAATGCAAAAAAAGGGAGTAGGAGACATTCTATCTATCTTCGAACAACGAATAAGAAGAATTGGATTAGACGTCTGCCGGAGTGGTGCTTTCCTTCTTTCTTCTTCAATTCCAATTGGGTTGGCCTGGATGGTTGGTATGTGGGAGGCTTTACGATGTTGTTTCAATCACGCCTGCCGTTCTGTGGTATTTCGGGACTTGAACCCAAAAAAAACATAGATAGCAGGGAAATATATGCATGCAATGGATTTGCGAGTGGGTTGTTTTCTTATGACTACGCTGAACAAAGCCGCCCTTTACGGTGACTACAATTGGATTATTTTCGGGGAGATGGGGAATGCATGCAAAACCAATAACAATTGTCGGAGGATGTGATCATTGCGTAGATGAAATGATGCGAAGCACGTGAGGCGAATCGATTGAGCTGTTCTGATTGAAAAAAATGGTGAAACATTACAACCCTTTCAACTCAATTTTGAATATAATGAAGTGATTTGACAGGGAAAACTATTTACTAACTTGACGAATTCTTTTCCCTCTCATCCACAGGTACTACCGCGCCAACTCGGTCCGCCACTCGACGCAGTCCTGCGAGGGGGTCTGCCTGCTCAATCACTACTGTGCCATAACGCGGCTCGATTACCGCGATTTTCGCAGCTGTATGGACACGGCAGCCAAGGCGATGGCCTCCAATAACAACTCGGCCAGTGCGCACGGAATCGGGATCGTTCCGCTGATGGCCTTACTGGCATTGCTCATCGGTGGCTGTTGCTATTGTTGTTGTTGTTCTTTCTGTAGCATCACTTCCTCGGTGGCACTAATCCTGTGGAACGTCGGACGATTACTGTTCATCAACTGTGTGGCCGTTTTGATGTGCATCGGAGTGTCCTCCTCCCTGTCTCTCGGTTCGAGTTCGTCGCTTGCGACGAAGGCTGCTGCATTATCCACTCCCCTTCTCCGGAACCAGTGAGATTAAAGTGAATGTAAATGTGCGTAGCTTTCAATTTTATTTTTAACCACACGGCAGAGTGTTTACGAGAGGGAAAACGAGCGAAATGGCATGAAAAAATCGAAATATTTTACGTATTCATTAAATTTATTGATTTTAAGCTGCCACATCCGGTGTGCGCTGCTACTGCTGGTTCACATCATCCCCAATAACAAATTACAACCGGGTCCGGGTACGAAATAACGGCACCGAAGGCGAGCTGTATGCAAGGAAGGAATGCTTTAGACTGGTTTAAAACACTTTTGAAGCTGGGAAATTGTGTTTAACAAATTTCAATTTAACGGTTGACAAGATTTTCAAACACGCTGCTGGAATGTTCAAATTTCTTAACCATTCTGCCAGTCACGATGAATGTAAAAACAACGGTCCTGCGTCCTCAGATAGTAGAGATAAAAAAAAAATCATGCGAAATAAAAGCCGCAAAGCCGGTGGACAATGGAAAATGCGAGCAAATTTATGTCAGTCGCCTTCAGCGCTGCCTGTGGAAAACGATGGCCCGTTTGAATAAGTGGAAAACGTGAAAAAAACCGAATGAAGCAGGGATTACTGCGGCCTTGTTGCTATTAGCGATGGTTTTCGTGCTGATTCTCACGCGTGTCCTTCTGACACAATCTGGACAGATGCCGAACGGGATTTACGGGATTGCCTTCGGGAAGAAGTGAGGCTATGTGAGCTTTTAGTTATTTTTGGACACGTGAATCAGGTCATCAGCACCACCATCATCGATGCGAACCAAAATGCACTCAGTCAGTGATAGTAATTGGATTATCGAACCAAACGGGTGCAATCACAATTTTACTGCTCCGTATCGAACGGGACAAATTGCAAATGAAATATCGTGAATTCTACTGATTACGCTGCTCGTAAATTAGATGAATCCCGGGTTGCTCCCAAGGGGTAGTAGCCTTCCGACGAAATTCATCCGCTCAAAGTTACGGTTGGGAGAATATACAATTTACCTTTTTCTCAAATGAATAGAGCCGCTTGACAACTACCGCCTTTGCATATGTTGCTGCTTCCGAAAAGTTTACTCCTTTTCCTTCTCGGAAGGATGCACCCCATTTTTGCCGACGACGACAATAACTGGGAGCAAACGATGAGTTTCCGCCTACCCGCAACTGGCAACTGCTGTGGGAAGTCAAGTGCTAGGGAAGATCTTTTCATCTGAAAATGTTTGAAGCCCGACTGGGGAACTTTGCTACTTTTTCATTCAGACTGATTTTATCTTATTGAATGAGGAGGTTGTGATAAACAATTCGGAGTACGACGTGCTTTGAGACTAATGATAGCTTGATCGTTTCAAGTTCAGAACAAATAAAACTTGGTGCAAGGTTCTCGACTGTTTGAATGAAAAAAATTTGAATACGAAGTATTGATGTTTTTGAATGATGTTTTTACAAATAAGTATAGATGTAGACAGTTGATCTGACCGAGAATTATAAGTTTGTACTATTGTCATTTTAAACACATTTTAGGTCGGGGGCCACCCCGGCGTAGTGGTTAGCATCCATACCTCTCACACCAAAGTCACGATTTTAAATCTCACCCCGGACAAGTCACGAATGACCCAAAAGTGTTAAAGTGACTATAATAATAATTAAATGGTGTCCGGGATGAGATTTGAACTCGTAATCTTTAGCGTGAGACTACCGAGTCCAAGAAAAAATAAAAATGTTCTACAGGAGCCAGAAGCAAGCCAATCAAAACTGGTTCCACTCAAAACAATGAACAATCTCAGATAAAAAGCAAATTAGTACCATATCAATGTGATGTAAACAGTTGAGGATTGGGAATTCGTCGTCTCTTTTGTTCTTCCGATGATTAAATGGCTGACGTCATACTGTTTTATCCATTTAAACAGCGGCAAAACGAAAGGGACAACGATTTCACATAGCCTCACCTGTTTGCATTTTATTGGTTTCCACCAGTCCTGCAGATTTTTTTTTATTTGCTTTTCATACCTTGTGTCAAATCGTAAGGATCATCCATAAATGACGATGCAATTTTCTTACCAATTTTAGACCTTCCCCTCCCCCTTCGTGGCGTTTTTTCTATTCCTTATGCATGGTCCGTTACAAATATTGAAACCCCCTCTCCATTACTCCTCAGATTCTACGTAACTTATGGATGTGCCCTAACTGTTGTTTTGGTTCTTAATTTCGGATCATCGTTTACGTGCGGAAAGTGAATTTTCAGGTGTATGAGTGAAAAATCATTATCGGCATCAAGAATTCACTGAAAAAGAAACGATTTATCTGCCGCTCATGCTCTCTGAAAAATAAATAAATTGTTGTTGCTTTTCTCGTGAAAACTGCTGTGAGTATTCTCTCGCTTCTCACATTCTCATCAATTTCTCCTAGAAGGTGAAAAATTACGTTTCTCTTCTCAAGTGGGCGAAAATTTCGATCTCTGATGAAAATCAAGCGTGATCTTGGGCGTTGGTAAGATTTGATTTTTTGATATTTTCCCAACACTGCTACAGAGTGTACTAGGGGAAATGACGGCTTCGGCATGACAGACTATTGTCGGCAACCCAAATTGAAACGCTAATTTCACAGGATTTTATTAAGTAAACACTTCACTGAATGCATTCAAACTATTCTTAAGGCTTTCAGCTTAAATTTGATTATATTTTTACCACTAAGAAAAAGCAATCTAGCAGGGTTTTCTTGAAATGAAACTACAAAACGCACTACGCACTACAAAACGCTGCTGATTTCGAGTTGCCGATGAAAGCACAGCTGTTTAACACGCAGCTCAAATAGAAACGCTGCCGAATAAAAAGAGGTTGCCCACAATAGTCGCTCTCACTAGAGAATATTGGAGCAATACTGAGAAAAAGGCTATTGAAAAATGGTCGCTGCTTCGGTTGCCGAGAATACGTAAATTCCCCTACCTCCTTAAGTTATGAGTGATTTATGTTGATATGTGTTCCCTCAAAATCGATTGAATATTGATGGGGTTTTATGACAGTCTCAGTAGGGATTCAGAACAAGCCTAGAAGAGATTTCAGTGTGGCTTCCCAACCATATCAAAGGACCCTTTGTATAATTCAAAGAGGGAATACGGTCTATCCCAGTGGAGATTCCGGACAATCTCAGGGATAATTTCACTCACTTTTGAGTGGGATTCATGGCAGTCCAGGGAGGATTCCAAGCAATCCAGTCAATCCAAGGCGGGATTCTGCACAACCCTAGTATGAAAAACTGAGATGTGGTGGTTCCTGAATCCCTTTGACGATCGCTCGATTACAAACTTAATATATTTAAGTTTCACAATAGAATCATTTGAAGTTGACCAGAACTAACCTATTTTGACCTGGGTTGAACAGCTAAATAACAATGTTCGATTTTTTGCTAAATATGGATCATCACAACCAGGCGATGGAAGTTCAACCCGTTCCCGTACCCCCTTTTCAACTCGTGTCTAATGATGTTTTTTTGCAGGAATATCAGGGATTACAATGGATGTCTCTGGAGAGAGTTGACAATACATAACTCTGACTTTTTCTAGCTAAATATTCTTAGAGATTTTTAACGCTCTTCCGTTATGAATGCTTGTAAATAGAAGTTTGCTAATCACGGTACACCGTAATTTTTAATTATTAATGATGAGTTTCCTCATTTTTGGAATGTACTACCTGTTGTTGTTTATTGAGAATCTTCTTTGACTGATTTTGAGAGATTGTATATAAATTTCAACTTCGTTGGGCTTGAAATCAAACCACCTAACGTTTCCTACCTGCAAAATTTACCAGAATTATAATTTCCCGATTCCTGGGAAACTAGTTTGCCTTTCCGGGGAACAGTTTTGGTTTGTACGAAAACCATACAAAACATTTTTTTTTTTTAATTATATCAGGATTTTCTTGAAGAAAGTATAAGAGCCTATCCAGAGGAGCCAGTAGACACTTCTAGGAGACGTAGGAGGTAACTGCCGGGTTAAAGTCGAAAGCAATTTGCAGGGGAGCTCTGAAAATACTTCCCGTGTAAATTGGATGACGCTTCCAGGAGGCAAAGGACTTTCGGGGAGGTATTATTGAAAAAACTTCGAGGCGAAGTCGGAAGTGTCTTTTGAGGGATGTCAGAAGAAGGAAAGTTGGAGAAACTTTTGGGGAAAATTAATAGAAAGTTTGGCGAATCTTTAGTGTGATGTAAGGAAAGCTTCCTGGAGAAGAATCTTCCAAACGAAACCGGTAGACGCTTCTGAGGCAATCTGTGAGAAATTCCCGGGCAAAGAAGGTAGAGACTTCCAGAAAAAGTTGAAAGAAATTTCTCGGAGTCAGTAGACACTGTGTAAAGTTCGAGTGAAATGGGAAATAATTTCCACTTCCAGCGGTAGCCAGTAGGACTTCTGAGGGTAATCTGAAGACACAATTGGAATGGAAAGTTGATAAAACTTCCATTGGACGATGGAAGAAATTTCCGGGAGAAGGTTGAAGATTCTTCCTGGGCGAGTTTTTAAAAACATTCCGGGAGATGTTGCAAGAAACTTCCATACAAAGTCAGATGAAACTTCCCAGAAAAATTATTAGAATACTTCCGAAGAAACTGGTTTAAATCTTTAATGGGAAGTTGGATGAAACTTTCAGAAATTGTTGGAAAAATCTTCCGAGGTTGATCTTGGCTATGTTAAAATTTAAATAACCCAACTCCTACTAGACATAGGATAAATCTAATCTAATATAATCTAACACCAATTCAGGCAGTTCATGAAAGCATCCTGGAAAATGATAGATATACTTCCATCCTTTTGCTTGTACATTTGGTATATTTTTAACATCAGAGATGCGCAAAAAATATCAAAACGGCCAGGCCTACTGTGCAGCATTTAACGGGCAAGATGATTCAGAAGCATCGGGCCTTTTAAAATCAAAGATTAAAACACGATGCTTCAGAATCCAATAAATTGATAAAACGTGGACATCTCGTACCGTGGTTGGTCGTTGGGAGCACCTAATCTAAAAAAGTTAAGTGATGCTCAATTTTCCTCGAGTGGTTGGGAAATGAGCACTAACTCTTGTCCTAGCCCATATGGTTTATGGTTATAGCACATTACTCGCTTTCTGAAAAGAGAAAAAATGGAATAAAAGGCCGTAGGAGGAAGGAAATGGAGGAAGGAACCCTACACAGTTCGAAAAAGTTGTGTAAATTTATGTCACTATGATGCACATAAATGGAGCGTCACATACCATCCAAATTCACATTACAGATCGTGTAAATTTATGAGTCATTTCATGAAATATTCTAAATATTGTATGCAACCTTCCATCTTTGTAAGCAATATTTCTTGCAAATTGCTTGTTTACGTAAAAAGGAAGTTTACATACTTCAATTTTAGCATGGATGGATATTTACATCACCATTAAAATTCATAATGTTTTGGTGTGTAGTTCTATCTTCCCTTGAAAAAAAGCGGGTCTCTAATCAATCTACAGGAAAAGTTCGCTAAAACTCACAATGGCCCTTATTTCGGGTGTCACTTCACGATGAAAACGAAGTGAAGTGACCAGTTGTCACTCACGGTGAAGTGATTGCCGTGTAAGGGCCAATGACTCGCAAACTTTTCCTTTTGTGTGCTTCATAAAACCTCGAAAAATTTTCCAACGCTGGACACGAACAGGTGAGAACTTGATTTCAGTAGAGAGTAATAGAATGAAAATATATTTAAAAAAAATATAAGAACCTATAAATGAAAATAAAGGGAAGATCTCAGCCAGTTTCATAATTTTGTACTCTTACTGTTCTGCTGCACTACTGTTGAACCAAAGGCACTTCTAAGACATCTCCGGGTTATTTCCAAACTAGTTCAAAAATTCTTCAGGCAAATCATGAGCACATGAACTTTCAAGAACAGAACAACAAACGTCGAAAACCAGAAAAAAGACTAGGATGACTCTCTTGCCGAATGAATCAGTTGGCAAATCTATATTGGAACTTGGCCATACCCACTCGTTCCCAACCTTTGACAATAACGCGCTTGACATTTGATTTCTCATCAAAATACAGCACGAAAGCGGCTCTTCGAAATGATGTCTAAGGCAAAGTTGTAGAAACCGAAACAAGTGAATATATAAAAAGGAACGAACTCACCAAATGAACCATGGTTTGCCCGTGAAGCAAAAACTTGGAAGACTGTTGCATCACCTAATTCTAGCTCAACACATCAAACCATTCCATCGGATCTTCAAAGAATTTCTTGTACAATCCGCCTCCAATCAGAATCTTCGGGCTAGCTTGCCAATAACAGCTGTGACGAAAAGGATTCTGATAAAAAAAAAAAAAAAACACTTTGAATTGCATTTCACCCGATCATTTGTACTTTAGTGCATAGACTAAAGTTCTTTTCTAGAACTATGTTTTCGAGTGGAACATTGTTTCGGGCTAAAACGCGATGAAAAAATCAATCACAGAAAGAATGAAGCCTAAAATTTGACACTCTAACATTTTTCACGTCCTTACAGAAGCAGAGCACACTTCGATCTCCCCAACTCCTACTAGACGTAGAATTAAGGTTCAATTAACTTTGATGCTTTTTAGAAAATTTCAAAAGCAGTTTTTTCCGACGCATTATTTCAGATTGCAAAAAGCTCGCACTATTCGATTCCTTTTGATATTTTACACAAAATGACGCGAGCTTTTTGCAATCTAAAATAATGCGTCGAAAAAAACTGCTTTTGAATTTTTTAAAAATGCATCAAA